GAAGAGTTGAGAACAGAACAAAACTATAAGAACAAACTCAGAGAATCTGAGAGGTCGGTCTATGATCAAAACAAGTACAATGTCATGGGAAGATTTAATGGACCTCTCAATAATACACCACTGTAACCCAAATCCAGTGCTTTGAGTCAATTCCAACTGGTAGCAACACTCCACATACTCTGCTAATGTAATCTTTCTGATATTAACTGAGGGTTGACTTAATAAATACACACATATAATTGTTTTTATTACTAGAAAAGGTATTTTATAAAGTAATATAACTTAAAAATGTGTATGCATATGTGTTGTTGTTAAGTGCGTTGAGTCAGTTCCGACCCACAGCAACCCTGTATAGTGTTTCCAAGGAGCAGCTGGTGAGTTTGAACCGTTGACGTTGCAGTTCAAACGGCTTTGTAGTCTGGCACATTAACCCACAGCACCACACCAGGACTCCTATGCATATCTGTTGTTGTTGTTATTAAGTGCTGTCGAGTCTATTCTGACCCATAGCGACACTGTATAGAGTTTCTGAGGAGTGGCTGGTGAGTTTGAACCACCGACCTTGTACATCTAAATAAATATCATTCTTCAAAGTAGCACTTTGTAAAGTATACCCTTATTTTAACTAAGTTGTTATTTTTAAAACATTTTCAAAAACTATTTTGGTGTTGTGAATCTCTATCTCCTAAAAGGGCAAATGTTTTAGGGACACAATCCAAAGTCACTTGAAACCGTGGAGTAATCAAGCTAAATATATCAGCAGGTTGAAAGTGAAATATGGTAGTAGGTACTGAGACTAATCTATGTGTGTGGGGCTCATAAAATGTCTCTGAAACAAATCTCAAGGCATCAAAACACTGTTTTATAATTGTTGGAAATAATTGTTGTTTACCAATGGCATTTAAGAAAGAACTCATTTACCAATATAGAGTAAAAAGATCTCTACAGATATCTATACATAAGCATTTGCTATAAATATACCCAGGTATATATTAGAGCCTACAGGAGGCAAAGATATAATTTTTAAAGTCATATCCAACCACCTTGAGGGTCTGAGTCACTAGGCTTGACAGCTTAGGATCATTGTCTTGGGTGACATGTAGGTCAATTAGTGTAACATAGTCCATGAAGGGGGAGTGTTGTGGCTCTGAAAGATAAACATTGGATTGCTAACCACAGGGTCGGCAGCTCAAGCTCACCAGCTGGCCTGCTGCAATAAGATGAGGCTTATGTTCCTGAAAAGATTTACAGCCTTGGAAACAGCCTTTAAGGTATTGCTATATGTCAGAACTGACTTGAAGGTACTTAATAACAACAGTTAGTAAAGCCAAAGCCCTAGATCCTCCTTTGATGAGTAACAACTAGAGTCCATCACGAATGCAACTATTGGTTTATCTCTGTCCAAAACAAAGCAGAGTGAAGAAAATCAAAGACTCAAGGAAACAATTAGTTCAGAGGACTAAAGGACTACATGACCCACAGCCTCCTCTGAAACCAAAAGAAATAGATGGTGTGGCGCTATGGGATACAGCATTGAACCACAAGGTCGGTTTAAAACATAAGGTTGGAGGATCAAACTCACCAGCTGCATCTTGGAAACCCTATACAGGGTAGCTATGAGTCTGAACTGACTTGATGGCACTTAACAACAACAATAACAAGCTACCACTACTGACCTCTGATCAGGACCATATTCCTAGACAGAGTGGGAGACAAATGTAAAGCAAAATTCAGAATTATGAAAAAGATCAGCCTTACTGGTCTCATAGAGACTGGTGGAACCCCCAAGACTATTGCCCTCACACACCCTTCAAATCTGGAACTGAGCCCCCTCTCAGAGAAAGTGACAAATAACACCCGTGAGGAACATGCTCCTCAGCACAAGCCACTACATGTGACCAGAAGGGCAGTAATTCTCACCCCCAAAAGTCCCTTTACAACTATACTTATTAGAATATTGAAAACTTAATTACACAAATAAACAGAAACAAGTTAGCACATTTGACTGGTTTGATACAGAGAAAATGGCTTGTATTTTATTCATTCATGCAGTAGCTGTTGGATGGTGACCACGTGTTAAGAGTTATACAAAGTGCAATGAATGTAATTCCAAGAGCAGATACTCTCTTTAAGGAGTACATACAAAGAATATATAAGCTTATATTATTAGGAGTATGGGTGTGGCACTGTGGGATAAAGCACAGGACTGCAAAGTCTGTTTGAACTGCAAGGTTGGCAGTTTAAACTCACCAGCCACTCCTGGAAACCCTACATAGGGTTGCTATGAGTCAGAACTGATTAAATGGCATTAGACAACAACAACAACAACAACAAATATTAGGAAACCCAAATGTCAGATGAAAATACACATTTACCTGAAGATAAACATGATTTTATGAAGATTGCCATGTAGTTCTAGTGTTTTTCAAAACTGATTCTGGAAATTTGGTAAAATATTTGTTTTATAGCCAAACAATATTATTGAAAAAAATGAATGTTTTAGTTAGCTATTTATCAAAATCCAGTAATTTATCATTTTAACTACTGTATCCATCAATGTGATGAATAGTCATAATCAATGATCAAATTCCTACTCTAAATAAATTTTTTCAAAATTGATAAAATTCAAATTTATGAAGTCCATGCATTTCTTAAATCTACCGTTTCCCCCAAAATAATCAAGATGTAAAACCCCATGATTATTAGACTACATAAAAGAAAATAATTGTAACTCATTATGCTGCTTAAACTTTCCATATAAAACATTTCAAGGAATGAGTAGGATTTTGTCACTCAGTTAGGATATGACAGTTAGGATCTCATTCAAGCATTTCACTGAGGGGACCAATCATTTTGTAGATGCTGTCATACTGCTAGTAGATAGTCCTTATGAGCAGACAACTGATTGTCTGTGGGTCCACCTAGAAGGATCTGTGGGATAGATTTAAAATATTTTATTATTCAATATTACAGTTGGAATGCATTTAATATTGGATACAACTGAACACTGAATATTCACAAATGAGGATCTAAAAGACACAAAATCAACATCTTTAAAAAATAGCATATGGAACTATTGCTAATAATTTTTAACACACCATTTTCAGATAATAGAATCATTCTTTAATTCATGGTCTATGAAGTCCAGAAAACTAAAAACTGTACTGCTTACATAAGATTTTACCATCAGCTGCTCTTCGGAAACCCTATCAGGGTTGCTATGTGTAGGAACTGACTTGATGGCACTTAACATAGCATATAATACTTACTGGAAAGATACTGAATGAGACCAGGAAAAAATGGGGAGAAGTGTCTATGGTTGACATTTACTTTCCATTATTTCCATAGTTCTCATTTTGCATTAAAATGGCTGCTTATCATGTATTAGGATTGTGTATAAGATTTCTGGTTTAAACCACTGTTCCGAACAAAAGAAAAGTTATTTACCTGATCCATTTTTAGGGTCTTGGATGAAATCATCCTCGTCTTCATCACAGCTATCATAGTTGAATTGTTGGAGGACTATTTCTGACTGATTTTCACCTTGATATATATCTTTCTGCTTAAAGAAGCTTCGAAGTGCAACAAGACGATGATGTATTGCTGCATACAAACATCCTATGTCCCTGGCACTGGCCTGCATGATGAAAATTTAAATAGCATGATTCCTAGAGTATAAAAACGCATATACATAACATGTAGCCTCACCCGCAAGTTCCATTATACATTTTGAAGAATTACAACTCAACGCAAAGTGACAAAAATATCAAGTAGGGAAACAGGAACTAAAGAAGAAAGACTATCTACCCCAAGGGATTTTTAGAAAATGAGCTCTTTAAGGAGCAGACATCCTGAGACATGACAAAGTACTCTACCACTCTGCATTGGAAAGAGAAGTTATCATTGACGAATGGCCTAATTCATGTCATCTCTCAATGGAAGGATTTTCCTCACAGCAGCACAGCAACAGGCAGCTGCCAGTGATTCAAGTTGGATTCAGAAGAGTATGGGGCGTGAGGGATATCATTGCTGATGTCAGATGGATCTTGGCTGGAAGTATGGAATATCTGAAAGATGTTTACTTGTGTTTTATTGATTGTGCAGAGGCATTCGACTGTGTGGATCATAATAAACTATGGA